TTTCCTACTGTGAACAGGCATTATGCTCTGTTGTATATTTTTATTTCCACAAAGTTTCACAGAAGTCCTACAAAGTGGATAGTTTTATTCCCATTTTACAATTTAAGTTAAATATTGGTCACATACATACACACACCCAATGTAACAACTGTGGTCTAATCAGAACATTGGCCCAGGAGTTTGGCTATGAAGAAGGAGGGACAGGGCTGAAGCCAGAAAATGGCCTTGGCTGCCTGGACAGTTCTCTGTGTTCCCAGAACTAGTCATACCAGCCTCCTCCTCACGCCTCCTGCCTTTTCCAAGCCTCTGCTCAGCCCTGACCTGCCTTCCAGGACCTGTGATTCTAACCTCTACTTTAATTCATGCTGTTTTAGCTCTGACTGCACATGCTTTCGTAGCCTAACCAGCCTCCCTGACTTTGGCCTTTTCCCAGTTGTCCATTCTGTACACTGCCCTCAGCTTAATCCTGCTAGGAGATCCTGCCCATGAATCTTTAGAAACTCGCAGTTGCCTACCAGCAAGGTCCAAGTGTACTAGCATGGCCTTTAGCAGTGTGGACTCTCGCAGTCTGACCACCAACGGCCTTTATGTGCTTGGGTCCTGAGATTTGTCTCATGTACCCAGCGCCCCTAGTGTTCTAGGGTAGTCCTGTCCCAGATCAGCTGCGGCAGCTCACAGCTTCCTCCCTGCTTTTTTCCCCAACAGCTTTATGAGGCATAATTGATGTACAAAGATCTGCACATATTTTAACGTGTACAATTTGTTGTGTTTGGGCATATGCAAACACCTGTGATACCATCTCCACCTCATAGCTTTCTTTTTCAAATAACAGCTAACAGATTTTGAGTACACGAATGCTTCAAAAATCAAGTAATATAAAAGGTGTTTCCCCGTCTTCCAGCCTGTTCCCCATCTCTTCCCTTATACCGCCCCTCTCCTTAACCTCCTTTATTAATTTCTTGCATATCATTCCAGGGTATCTTTATGAATATAAGGACATGTTAATATACATTCTTATTCCCCTTCATTTTCATATGAATGAGACATACCAAACACCTTGCTCTTCTAACAAGTTATCCTAGGTGGTCTCTCTGTATCAGTGCGTTGACGGTTTTTTTGCTTTTTATAGCTTCATGGTATTTCATCATATTCCTGTACCAAAATGTATTTAACTAGTCCCTTGTTGATGGGCCTATGTCGTACTACATGTGTGCAAGTAGATCTCTGATTACTGGCTGAAAGGGCATGTGTTACTTGAAATTTTGATAGATGCCTTTTAGCATTTTTTTAATGCTCACCCCAGGACATTCTTCCATTGATTTTTAGAGAGTGTGGGAAGAAGGGAGTGAGGAGGAGAGAGAGACATCGACGTGAGAGAGACACATGGATGGGTTGCCTCCCGCACATGCCCCAACCAGGTTTGGGAACCGAACCTGAGACCCTTTGGGACCAATGCTCTAACCACTGAGCAAACTGCCCAGAGCACCTTGTAGCTTTTTTGATTGATGATTTTTAAGTTTCAAAAGTGCAGCTCAAATTCCATTTCCCCTGAAATCCCCAAGCCAGAGGGAGCTCTCATCCTAATCTCTTCTACTGTGTGTCTGTGTCACTCATTTAACAATCACAGCCTCTGTGTGTGTACAGTCAGTCTTATACGTTATTTCTCCAACTGGAGTGATAGAGCTCAGGTCTTTATTTCACATCCTCAGAACTTACTCTGGTACCTTATAGACACACCTGCTCGTTGATCAGATATTCATGTGTTTTGTTCAAGAATAGAAATCTCTGCTGTGGACCTGAAAATAAGGTAGTTGCCTGCTGCTTTTTGTTAGTGCTTTATTGAGACAAAGCTCTCTTTGGAGGGCAGATGGTCTCAGGCAGGCACCACAAATCCAATTTTAAAATATTTATTGGGCACCAGAAACATAAGCACAGTGAGAAGGTAGGGAAGAAGAAGAAGGGCAAGACCCTCATGAACCCTGCCCCACGTTTATTTGGCCTTGACAGTGTTTAAACATTTCAAAACTTTTGTAATTGGAATATTACATACATACACAGATTTTAAGTACACGGGTGAAATGATTACAAAATCTGCTTGACGCATGTTTTGTTAGTTACTAAACTTTTAACAATCTCTTGAAAAACTCGTTCTGGTTAATAGCTTCCCCTTAGGGTAGTCACTCCCCAATTTCTCTATTCTTTATTTCCTGTTCCCTGAATGCATTTACATTTGAAATCACTGGTCCTCAATAAAGTAGGACGTCCAGGCATCTGGGAGGGAGAAGGGGTTTGGGGGAGGGGGGAGGACTTGGAAGAACAGATGATAAGACCAGCAGAGGAATTGAACAGTATCAGTTGAACACCAGACTGCTCACCCGTGTATGTTTACTTTTATTCTAACAAACTTAAAACATCTTTGTAGTTTTTTAAAAAAATTTCATTTTCTACATTTTAATCTCTTTAAGGACTGTTTTGTCTCAGTCTCCTCAAATAACACTGTTGGTGGTTAAAAACTGAAAGCATTAATTGGTATTGTAAAGTGTATAATTAAAACACCTGATGAATCTTTAGTTTGAGCAGCCTGTCAAAGCCATTACTCTGAGAACAAAACCCAATTCTAAAATGTTTATCTGATGTCACAGAATAAATTTTAAAACAAGCCATCTGCCTTCTAAAGTTTATCTCCGCTGCACCTGCGCTCAAAATTACTTCTGCCCACACACAGGAACTGTTGTTTAAAGATTTTGCTGTTGAATCATCAGGCAGACTCTCCAGGAATTATTTACACTTTAAAATTTATTATGAAAAACGCATGCACATGTTAAAAACCAAGCAAACACAATTCTACAAAGCCATTTAGAAAATTAAATCTTTTCTCATCCTTTGTCATCTCTCTTACCAAAAACAACCAGTATTACCAGTTTCCTGTGTATCCTTTCAAAGATACTCTCTGAATACATAAGCATACCACATGTGTGATGTGTGCACAGATACACAGACACGTACCAAGCCTCCCCACTTTCTACACAAACGGCAACAAGCTGTGTGCTGCTCTGCACCTGTTTTGTTTTTATTTTACTTAACGTATAGGAGGAGTTTTTTTTGGCTACAGTATATACACCCACACTATTCTTTTGGCTGCATAATATGTTTCATAATTTAACCAATTTCTTCCTGGTGAGTGTTTAGGTTTGCAATCTTCCCTTTACAAGCAGCACTGTTAAGGACATCCCTTTACATTCATCTTTGTGAATGGGTGCACATGCATCTATAGTATGAGTTCCTAGAATGTGCCTCTTAAATATTTTTGCCCAGTTGCCCTGCAAAGAGTGTACCCGTTTACTTTCCAGCAGTGTATGTAGTGCAGTTTCTCAGCACTCTTGCCAACACTTTTATTATCAGGTCTTTTGATCTTTGCCATTCTGATAGATGAAAATGATATTTTGCAGTTTCAAATTGCCTTTCTCTTGTTATGATCCAGCATGATTTTGTCCAGGAAGAACACCAGTGGGGCTGCCAGGCCGCTTCACTTCTCACTCACCATAATCATCTACGCTGCTTTTCTCATTCCTCTTTTTCTTTGCCTTGGAGCAAAAGTGAGACGGACTTGTTTTAATAAAAAGGCCTCATGGGGAAAGAACATTGCAGATACAATGACTAAATTACACATTTAAAAAATTCCAGGTTTATTCCTTTTTCTCTGACCCCTCTCATCTCCCTCCTCAGTCTGCCTCTGCGTCTTTAAGTCTCTTTTCTCTCTGTTCCTTTACCAGGCAGGACTCACACCAGTCAGAGGCATGTGCTCTTCAGTCTTCCTTCTGCATGAACAGGTTTTTCAAAAAAGAGTTCTCCCAAGAATTATTGGCTTACTTCCTTGGTGGTACCTGAAAATTATTTCTCCTCAGCAGCCTAGTGCCTCGCAGGTCTGTGAGGGCTGGGCTTTTCACTGCTGTGACCCCAGACCCTAGGATAGTGCCTGACACAAATGGACACCCAACAGCTTTATTTATATGTGTGTGTATGTATATATATGTATGTGTATTTATGGAAATGTATGTCTACATACAGTAGGAAAACCTACATAACATTGACCATTTTAACAATTTTTAAGTATACAGCTCAGTGGCATTGAGTACATTTCCATTTCAGTAATTTTCTTTTGGATGAATGAATGAGTAGTGATACTGGGTATTTGTTCCTGGATTAACAAGAGCCAGATGGTCTTTCTAATTCACATTGTTCCTTCCTCCAGATGAAGTCATACGGAAGCGTCTCCTAATTGATGGAGATGGCGCTGGAGATGATCGCAGAATTAATCTGCTAGTGAAAAGCTTCATTAAGTGGTGCAACTCTGGATCCCAGGAAGAGGGGTATATCTTTGCACTGTTGTTTCTATACCACTGTCCAATGTGATTTTAGACCTTGTGCACAGTCCTGTAAATATTGCCAATTTTCACTCACCTTAAATGTCCAGTTGAGTCAACTCTAGATTAATCAAGATAGATTTTTCTGGCCTTAATTCTCTGGAGGGGTCTGCTTTATGTTATTAAAATGTGTAGAAGGCATAGTGATAAGAAATGAAGATTAAATCCAGGCTCATTATGTGATCACTTTTAGCAGATAAGTGTTTAAATGTCTATATGAAATGTTCCTTTTAAATAAGCTAAGAGGTTGCTTTAAAGTTTTATACATATTTAATAATTTTTTAAATTAGAAAAATTTTCCTCATTTGAATTAGCTTTTCACATAGACAGATAACCACATAGAGAGAAAAAAATTATGAGAACAGAATTGTGAAGATAAAATCTGATCAAAACATTTTAAAAAGTATTTAAAACAAAATTAAAACAAGTAACTGTTTTAATTAAGCTTATATGATAGGAACAACAGTCCCATCTTTGCATATGTAACTAAAGCAGTTTATAAATTCAAGTGCACTATATTTGGGAAAAGAAAACATAAGGGACAGATACTCTAAATTATTTTAAATAAAGCAAAGGATTCTCTCAGAACTTTATATAATTTAATTAGGAAATCTTTGCCTACACTATACATAGTTCAACTTTGGCAATCCACAAAAATCTTCACTCTGTTTCTTTCTTTTTTATTAGATACAGCCAGTACCAACGTATGCTGAGCACACTGTCCCAGTGTGAATTTTCCATGGGCAAAACTTTGCTGGTATATGATATGAATCTCAGAGAAATGGAAAATTATGAAAAAATTTACAAAGACATAGGTAAAGAAACCTAATTAATTAATGTTTATCTGTAATTTTTTATTTTTATGGCCTAAAGGAAATAATACCCGCTAACATTTTTCTTTTATTAGTGGTAAAATAATAACAATAACTATTAATAGAAAGAATATAGTAAAATTAGTTACAAAAATGTATTTTAATATGATACAGTACTTTAAGTTACAGCTATTTTTTAAATGTCAGCATCTATTTTTTTAGCAATGGAACTTAATTTAAAAACACATTTTAAGATTGAAAATGGATGGAGATTATACATGTTACAACTATCTTAAAAAACCTTTTTATATAGAATGTAGCATTGCTGGAGCACATGAGAAAATTGCTGAGTGCAAAAAGCAAATTCTTCAAGCAAAACGAATACGAAAAAATCGCCAAGGTAAGAGTTTTGTGGGATTTAGTTAGCAAATACTTCATTATTGACTAGTATTTTCATGCTGTTTTTAATAGTGTGAGGTAAAATCTTCCGCTAGAATCAACCTGAATTATAAAAAAGAATTAGGAGTCAAACTTAATTCTTTAAAAGTATATTATTCTTTAAAATAGCAGAGAAAGAAGGCTATGCTGAAAAAAAATATTTTTCCTGGATTGAATTGAATATCCAAGTATTTCTTAAGTATTTGTGTTTTGTTTTGTTTTTGTTTTTTTACTGTCTTCAGACCCCTTTGCCTACATAATATATGGTTAATCAGCAAAGGCTATTTACACAAGTACACTAGATTTAGGATTTTGTTTGTTGTTTATTTGTTTAATGAAACTACTTAAAACAAAAGATAATTTAAGCCCATTGAGTTTTTATTAAGTACAAAGCAAGCAAATATTTACAAGCTGCCTAAATAATAAGAGGAAGGTTAAAGCTTTGTTTTGTTCCTTTCTTTGTTCTTAAATTAGGGTATGTCCTTATTGCAGTCCATAAAAATTGTTTCAAAATAATTTTTAATGGCAGAGGCATTGTTCCTAATAATGTAAGTTGAAAGAAAGACAGAAAGAAATATAATGTATAATCAGAATTATGACATACATGAAGAACTAGAAGGAAATGGAAAATGTTAATGGTTATTTGGGGGTTGTGGGATTTTATGGCTTAAATTCTTCTTTTCTTCTTTACACTGAGCATGTATTATTTTGTAATCCAAAATTTTTAATTAAAAATCATACTTTTATTGAATTAATATGCTGACTTCCAAAACAATGAATTTTATTTTTTAATGAGTTAAGATGACATTTATTTCCTTATTTTTATTTATTTATTTTTTATATATTTTTATTGATTTCAGAGAGAGAGGGAGAGAAAGATAGAAACATCAGTGATGAGAGTCATTGATCAGCTGCCTCCTGCACGCCCCCTGTTGGGGATCGAGCCCACAACTGGGCATGTGCCCTGACTGGAAATGGAACTGAGATCTCCTGGATCATATGTCGATTCTCAACTGCTGAGCCACACTGGCGGGGCTATTTCCTTATTTTTAAAAGTTGTTGTTTGAATTCAGTCTAAAATGCATGTGGTCAAGTTTTGGTGGTGTATTTACAGCAAGATATATACCAACATATTTAATAATTAATCTCAATTACAAATTTTTTGAAATGTTATACATTGTTTATGTTGACTAATGAGGCAACATTGATGTGAGAGAGAGACACTGATTGGCTGTCTTTACACTCAGGGCCCAGGATGAAGCCTGCAGTCAAGGTTTGTGTCCTGGGCCAGAATCAAACCTGAGACCCTTCAGTGTACAGGCTGACGCTCTAATCAATGAGTCAAACCAGCCAAGGGAAGGTTCCTGAATTTTAAATCATTTCTAGGTTTCTGAGGTCTTTACCTTTGAATGAGTGAGAAGTATAATTTGCTGTTGTCTTGGATCTGAAATTAATGGTATAATATATTTACCTTGCTGATCTTTTATTTGCTGGGCAAATAGTAAATAAAGTCCTCTTCAGAATCAGTCCACTTGATCCGTAATGACTTAAGATCACTTATGCTTCAGCTGGCCTCTTGTATTTAGCCCATGAATAGGTAAATGAAACACAGAGTGGGAGACCAAGTCCTTGTATGGAACATTTAAAATCATCTATCATTGCAGCTGTGGCTGAATCAAGTGAAACTGGCAATACTCTTTCCATCCTACAGTATGTTCATCTCTTTATGTTCTAGGAAAGTGATTTGGGGAGACTTGTGATACACATTTTGTTTTGATATCCAAGTTCAAAAAAACCTTAATTTGTTAAATATTTTTATGTCTTTCAGAATACGATGCTTTGGCAAAAGTGATTCAGCATCATCCGGACAGGCATGAGACATTAAAGTAAGTGTAGAGCTTTACTTGAAAGTAACGAATCTTTATATGTAACTGTTTACATACTAGCCTACGCATTCCATTTTCACAATATGTTCCAAAAGGAGGACTAAGATAGTCAATATGACATATTCTAATACTGTTAAATAGATTTCTTATTCCTTCTGCCTTACTGCTTGTAGTTCTAAAATAAATGCATATAATATGCATCACTATGAAAGTGGATAGAATATGGTCTATTCATATAGTATAATACTAAGTAGCAGTTAAAAAGAATAAAATAGTTACACACTTTTTAAACACAGATCTCAAAAACATAATTGGACAAAAGAAAAGACATACAGGGTGGGGCAAAAGTAGGTTTACAGTTGTGAGTGTTCAAAAACCAGGGTTGATTCTTGTATTATGATTTATTAATTATTGTATTACTTCCCATATGAACAACTGTAAACCTACTTTAGAGATACAGATATTACATTAAAAAGGATTGGAATGATACAGTGATTGCCTGAGTGGGAGGTAAAGGAAGGAAAACGGCTTGGAATAGACTGAGGGTAAGGTTAAAAGCGTATTTCAAACTAATCTGCAATGTTTTATTTCTTTTACCAAAAAAAACAAAAAAAAAACGACTTGAAATAAGTATGACAAAAAGTTGTTAAAACTTATCAGTTCTTGGGGTTTGATATTCTATTATCTATGTTTTCCTATACTTTAAAAATTTTCTAAAAATTTAATTTTAATGAAAATGAGTACATACATAGAAGTTAAGAATAAATCACCTTAGCTTTTAAAGTCTCATCATAATACAGTGTTATAACTCATCCTTTTTTAGTTTTAAAATACTACTTAGTGCTTGGCCGGGTGTGGCTCAGGGGTTGAGCATCCACCTAGGATCCAGGTGATCGGGGTTCGATTCCCAGTCAGGGCACATGCCCAGGTTGCGGGCTCGATCAGTGGTTCTCTCGTCATTGATGTTTCTATCTCTCTCTCTCCCTCCCCTTTTCTCTCTCTTAAATCAATAAAGATATATTTTAAAAATTAATTAATTAATTAATTAAAATACTACTTAGTAACTAAAAAGTTAGGTATTGTGAATTCTATTCCCCCCATTTAGCAAAATGTAACTTTTATTTTTCAGGGAACTAGAGGCTCTGGGCAAAGAATTAGAACATCTGTCACATATTAAAGAGAGTGTTGAAGACAAGGTATTTTCATATATATGTTAGACTTCGTGATCTGTATGTTTATAGGTCAGTGTGTATTAATTTTTTCCTTGTTAACACAGCTGGAATTGAGACGGAAACAGTTTCACGTTCTTCTTAGTACCATCCATGAACTTCAGCAAACACTGGAAAGTAAGTAGAAATACATCCATAACAAATGTTTGTTAAGATTTCTAACGGCCCAGGGACATGCCTTTTAAAATACACATTTTAAAGAGAGAGTGCGCCTTCAATTTTAGAACAGCAGTATAACTGGGTGACATTAGAAGGCACTCATGTTGTTCAGCTTTCATAACATATGCAGAAAAATCTGAATTTGTAGTAATATATGATTTTAACACATATCCAGTAGTTTATATTAAGAGAAACTCAGGAATGATAGATTTGGAATTTTTCTTGGTTTATTATAGTTTATTGCTATAAAGTAATGTTTCAGGACCCAGGCAGGCCATGATAAGTGAGTGAAGTAATTAGTGATAAGCATATTTGCATACTCAGTGAACAGTGGGTGCTTTGGGGGAACTGGAAACCTGCTCATGGTATTGATTATAGCCAATAGGAAATTTTGTGTTATCTGATCTGATTGTTTTCAAGAAAAGCCAAAAACCTAGATTTTCATTTAAAGTGAAATCTGTCACATAAATTTTACATTTTGATGCAATAAATACATAAGAACCACCAAAACAGAACTGTTAAAACCAAAGACTTGTATGTGCCGATTTCAGTCATAGACTGTCATTTTACCACTTTTATTTTAAATATATTGTCTAATGAAGGGTAAACATGTTTTCATGTATTTATTAAACATGTAATTTTAGCAAATTTGACTAAGGTGGTATGGTTCTTTCTCAATTGCAGATGATGAAAAGCTCTCAGAGGTGGAGGAAGCTCAGGAAACAAGCATGGAAGCGGATCCTAAGCCATAGACAGGCTAACGCTCACCATTCCCAAGACTACTGAAGTAGCAGTACTATCTTAGTGTGTTTAGAATTTGCTGTGCTCTTGAGAGACTTAAAGTTTTGACAGTGAACTACTTTGCTTTTAAATGTTAATGTACAATTCATATTTCTTCACACAAAGGAAAAACTTCAGTATAGATTTGTTTTTTATTGAAATACCTTTTTTATAATTCTTAAAAGGTAGGAAGCCACATCCAAAAACGTTTAATAAAACTTTTTCAAGCCAGATAATGTTTGTGCTCATTAGTGTTCTAGGTAGTTTTTAATTGTCAACATTGATTTGCTTACAAAATAAGTTGAAGATCGTGAGAAGGTGGTATTTCCAGGATGTACATGAGAAAATAAGCCAGCTTCTGGAGATTTCCACTTTTGAAAATGGAGTACTTGAGTAGGCTCCAGGAGGGCTGTGAACTTGTGAAATATGTGGAGAGTTTGTGGTGTATGCTCATTGTGGGCCAGGTTCCATGATACTTGGAATCCCTGGTGTAGGAGGTAATGAGATGCACAGCAAATCTATATGCACTTCTTTCTAGATCTGTCTCCTTAATACTTGAGCAATGTGGTTATGAAGTGTTTTGTTCATGTTTTCTCGCTACTGTTTGTTCCTTAGGAATCATTTCCAGTGGAAAAAGTTGACAAAGAGTAGTTTGAGACAGACTCTGAGTATGGTCTTGCATGAAGGGTTTCATGACCTTTTAAAACTAAGCTCAGGCAGAGTCACCTGTAATTTTCTGAAGTATTGAATTTCATTTTCAGTCCTGGTGAGGTTCTGTCCCTATTCATTTATCTTCATTCAGAAACATGACACTTTGCATGAATCACACCGTAATAGTGTTACATTTTTATAATTTTAATAAGAATTCTTACCTTAAAAAATAAAAACTTGAAATTAGCTCAGTTGTAGTCATATTAAAAGTGTCATAATACCTTTAAATGCTTCCTCTAATGTCATCTGACAAGTCATAGGAGAAATTGTTTTTGCAGAATTGTTATGCCCTAATAAATGTTTCTAGCTTCCATTATTAGTAAGAATTATGAAGCAAAAATTTGCTTACATTGACTCAAAATTAAAAATTAACTTTTGGGAAAGTATTTTTTTAAGGACTGTTGGCCAGAATATTATTTAAAATGCCCCCTCCCCCATTGATTAATTCAGGATTATGTACCAAAAGGTAAGAATCCCTATGAAGATAACTTTTATGCAATTAGGAACAAAATCAGAAGCAGCAGCAGGTACATGGGAAACACACATTTTTCAATTTATACTTCCTCGTGGTTCTCTTGGAAATCCTCCGGAACTGCTTAGAAGACTGAAGAATTTCGTCCCCTAGAAACTCACACTGTTGAAGCTCGGCATGTCTCTGAGCCAGTAACTTCATGGACTTATCAGTCACTGTTTCTATGAGGTCATCCACCTAGGAGAGGAGATACAAAGAAATGAAGCCATGTGCATCCCCAAAACCTAAGGGATGGTGGGTTTTACTGAGAGGTGAGTTAGGGAATTGTTGGACATTTTGCAAATCTCAAAGTATTATTCTAAGTCAAGTCATAACAAACAGCTTGAAAACATACATTTACCACCCAGTGGTAAAGACGATCTTATTTCTTCTCAAAAGAAGCCTATGTGTATGCCTTTAATTGAATTCACTTAGTATTTATTAGGCCAACAACATCATCCAGGGTGCCCTTAGCAATCCTTTGGCCACTTTGAAAATGCCCCCCACTAGCATTATTTCTTAATGGCAATCATTAATTCCGTCCCACATTCGTGCTGCCCAGCAGGGCTGTGCATTCAGTGAAACCTGGCCTGCTGCTGCTTCGGCAACAGAAAAGTAGAAGCCTTTGTCCACTACCTGCATTTGAAGCTTTCCTACTGTTAGGTCTGATTTTCGGAGGATGTTTTCCACGCCACGTTTCTTCTTTTTAAGTGCTGGAAAGTGTGGTCGCTTTTTTGAGGAATATGGAACCTATCGTAAAAATGCAAAAGCACATCAGATTAGGAAGTACCACCATTATTTTTGTGACTGCTTAAATAAAAATTCTCACCCTCAATATCCTCTTACAAACTGAACATTTGCCACATATCTATGTCGAGTTGGTGACCATATTCATACTATTCTCCACGCCCCATGTATCTCCTTTGTGCCCAGAGCTCTCTTTGAAGAGATCTATAGGGTGCAGAGAAATGAGATTGTCTGGTTCTGAAAGAATATACAGTGTCAGGAAAAAAGCAGGTCATTCGTAAGCAGAAGAAATTGCCTGTGCAGCTGCTGAGCACAGTGAGTGTGGAGCTGTTGTGGCCAGTGCCCCAGAAAGCTCATTATCACTGGATCCAGTTGTTAATTTGGTCTTTTTTTCTGTAGGTTTCCTTATTTTCATGGCAGACATGTCTCCAAACATAAAAAGAAAGCTCTGGGTTCCTTTTGCTGCATGCCGGATGCTTTTCCTCTCGTCCCTGGTGTTCTGGTTACAAGTACCTGTTCTAATAGTGTTGCTATTAGAAATCATTTCTAGGTCATGGCTCCTGGCTAATATGCCCTTTTTGGTCTTGTCGGGCTTATTGGGCTCACTTTTCTTCCCCTTCTGCTTAATAAGTGTCATTAGGACTATTGTGAGACCTACATAAAGTTAGGCTATGAGACCACATCTGGGTCCTAGCCTTTTCCTGTGAATTTTCCAAATGAGTGCACTGAACAACCACTCTGTCCTGCCAGCCTACCCAGGCTCAAATGTCACTTGCAGAACCTTCCCCAGCCTGTGTATACTTGGACTCCTCTCTCTTCTCTTACATAAAATTCAGTACTTTTTCCTACTAAGCACTTACCACACTTGGTAATTACTAAGTTATCTCTGTGTTTGTTGAATACCACTACTATAAAGTCAAATGCCTAGAAGGGCCAGGCAGTTTTTGTAAAACAGAACCAGTTGGGGCTGGTGTGAACTGAAGAGAACATGCCTTAAGCAAAGGGGGCAACCTCTGCCAGCTCCTGTTGTTGCCCCGAGGAATTGGGGGCCTAGTGTTTCCAAATCTTCCTATTTTTCAAAAGAAAGCTGGAAGTTCAGATTTTTATTAGAACCATTCTAATTTAAACGTGGACAATTAATTTAAATATCTTCTTGAGAACATTCTGAGAGCTCAACAAAACCCTTCTATAGCCAGTAGAGAACATTTGACTTAATGTTTTTTGATGAACAGTAATTCTTAATTTTCATATAGCCAAATATACCCATCTTTTCTTTTTCTCACTCCCTCCCCCCTCTCTTTTCTTTTGGCTGCCTCCTGTACGCCCCCTACTGGGGGAATCGAACAGGTAACCTCTTGGTGCGTGAGAAGACCCTCAACCAGCTGAGCCACGTCAGCCAGGGCTCCATCTTTTCTTTTACGGTCAGTGACGTGTTCTAAGAAGTCTTTCTATACACTGAAATCATGAAGATATTCTTAGTGTACTTAAAAAGTTTTAAGCTTTTACCTTTTCCATATACATCTATAACCCAACAGGAACTAAGCTTTGTATATGGTGTGAGAGGGATCAAATTTCATCTTTTTCCCCATATCCACTTGTCCCAGCACCATTTATTCAAATGATTATCCTTACCCCTCTACTCTACAGTGCCATGGTTTAATGTCTATCTCGTCTATTAAACTATAAATTCCACAAAACAGGACCATGCCCGTGGGGTCACCGTTGTGACCTCAGAACTAGGGATTGGCCAGCACATAATAGGAATAAAATTAATACGAACTTCACACAAAAGAGGCAAGATTCAAAACATATTGTTGCACTCGACAGTGATGCCTTAGAGCAGTGCTGTTGAATAGAAAATTCTGTGGAAATGGAAATTTTATTTATCTGTGCTGTCCTCTACAACAGCCACTAGCCACATGCGGGTATTGAGGACTTGAAATGTAGCTAGTGCAATGAAAGAATAAATTTTAATTTAATTATTAACTTAGTCACATGCAGCTATTGGCTACAATATTGGATGCTACAGTTAGTACTTAGCATAGTAATTAAGACTAAGGACTCTAGAGCCAGGTCTTCCTGACTCAGCCACTTACCTGGGCAAATTACTTAACCCCTGTGCCAGCTCTAAAATAAGGATAGCATTGCCATACCTTAGAGGGCTGCTGTAAGAATTATCTGGTAAGTTGATATTTTTAAAGCACTTAGGGCCTGGAACATAGCTTTACGTAAATGTGTGTTATATTTAAAATAATAGTTCTGGCTATTTTAAAAAACAGTCTGACCAATTTAGGCTCAAATTTGCATACCTACAGGTAAATACAAGCTTTGGATTGGAGAGTCCTGGATGATCTAGGGCCTCACTGTCTATACTTCCTATACATGTGACTATTTACATTTTAATTGCAAGTAAAATGAAATAAAACTAAAAATTCAGTTTCTCAGTTGCACTGGCCACATTTCAAAGTCTCAAAATCCACACGTGGCTGACTGCTGCTTTGGATAAATGTACACTCACATCCTCGAAAGATGCCTTTGGGGCAGTGCTGGCCTCGTGGATTGCTCTCTACCCAGCATGCACGGCAGGCCCGATGCTAGCATACTAACTTGATATTTGAACAGTCAAAAAAGCCAAAAAAAAGCTCTGAACGTCATTGTTGCCCAAATTGTAGGAGAAGCCAAACAGTTTGAGCTCAGAAATGGAGGAATCAGACCTGCTTAGCCTGTTTTCTGGGCCCTAAATTGCTGGAGAGGAGACACAAGCAGGAGGTTGAATGGCTTTCTTGTGAGGGTCTTGTGGCAGGAGGGAACCTGGCATTTACGACAGTCTAAACACTGACTATGCATAAGTCTTCAGAGGCAGTTTGTGTCAGCATTTTACCTTCTGCAGTCCTGCAGGGAGGGATGTCACAGATAAGCGCTTGGTGGTCCTCCTGGCCCGGAGGAGTGTGTTTCCTCGGGTTATCTCCTCTGTCTCTGCTTCTACATCAAGTTGTATAGTTGCTTAGAGTGAAGGGGGAAAAAAAGAACCTGTAGTGATCACAGCTGTAAACATATTCTTCCTATTAGAAAGTATTCTGAGAAGACAGCATCCTGTGCTGCCTCGGTAGCTTTTTCCTTGGGGTTAAAAATTCAACCTGGACTTGCTTTTCTGTCTCACAGCTTCTCTTGCACACACTCCTTTGCTTGGGCTGGTGACCTCAGTGGTCACCGACCAGTCTTGACAAGGTGGTTGCTCACCTCTCTATCTTCGAGACCAGTTTGCCCTCTGTTGCTTTTCCCTTTCTTTGTGAAATTAGAAGAGTAACCTCTAACGTGTAAACGACCCCTTGAATATTCGTTGTTGGTTGAAACAAAGTTTAACTTCATTCTTCAGCAATGTGGCTCAAGGCTCAGGCACTCACATACCATCCTAACCGTTTTCCCATAATCCAGGAGCTACGTGAATTCCTTAAATCAAGTCAGTTCTTAACACAATAAATGTATTTATAAAGAAAACTAAAACACTACTATAAATCAAGAACCAGTATTATAAATAGTAGGCATTAAAATTAATATGGTAAAAACAAAACCATATTGCTTCAGAAGGCACCAAACTTGAGGTTACTCTTTATTAAAAAAAGAGAAAACGGCAGGAAATGGGACTTTTCCTTGGTGTAGTTAAAGGGACCAACGGGGGGGAAGGTGTTTGCAGTTTGCCCTGTTTCAGTGTCTTTACTGTGTGCTGCACCTGAAGTCATCTTGTCCTGGACAAGGACCTCTCTGGGAGCCGTGGCTCCTAACCTCGGCGCATGGGGCTCCACTTTCAAAGTAGGTGCTCACCCCGGAACTCTTCCCTCTCCCCCGGGCTCCGCTGCCCGGCTCTTCCATCCCCACAGCCATGACCAGCCCACACTAAGGTCATCCCTTCCTGAATGAATGTAAGAGCCTGTTTATTGTTCTGTATTTGCTCCTGCCCCCCTCCAGCCCCGTCTCCACTCTGCAGCCTGAGCTATCTTTTAAAAATGCAAATCAGATTATATAAATCCCCAGCTTGCAAGTATTTGATGGTTTCTTATCACCCTTACGTGTAAAATATTCTTAACAGGGTTTATAACACCTTTGCCACCTCAATCCTGCCTGGATGCCTTTCATTTCTCAATTATGCCTGGTGCTCTCTTGATCTTGGGACTGAACATTGTGTCCCTCTTCCTGGGACGCCGTTCTCGCCATTCTTTCCTTATTTGACTCTAGGTGGCCTTCTGATCTCCAGGGAGCTGTTCCTTCGTCGGGAGGCCCCTCCCCTAGCGTAGCACACATGGCCTATTTTCATAGCACCCTGTGCTCTGCTTTGCAGATGTAATCGCCTGTCTCATGTTGGAATGTCCCTCTACCCTGGAACTCCACGGAGGCAGGGACTGTGCCTGTTCTCTCTGCTGCTCTGTCCCTAACATGTGGCTGACATGTAACGCGTGCTTAGCAGATAGTCGTTGAAAACTGTTACGGGGTCAGCAGGGAAGAGCAGCGGCGTTTGGGCCACAACTGAGACTTGGTCATCGTAATACTTGAGCTGCAGCCTGAAGGATGAGCATGATTTTTAGAGAAATCTTAGTGCAGAGATTTGTTATCCCAACTAGGAAAAAAATAAGCTGATGCACACAGATGGGGAAAGGAATTTGGTCCTCTGTTTCCTGCCGGACTCTCCAGCTGCAGCTCCATCAGTAGAGACGCATGTCCTCTGTGCTGTTCTCAACAGAAACTGGCAGGTGAGGCCACACCAGGCGATTGCTGGATGCTGGGGTGCTTGTATTAGTGACTGCTTTTCCCAGAAGAGTTCGTTTGAAAGGATAGTCAGGTGAAAGCCTCAGCTTTTAGTTTTTTTGTTTTTTTTCTGGAAAAAGTACCCACCAGGTTCTCAGCCTTTTCACTGTGAAATGTGAACGTACCTGTGGATTCCCTGCGTATACACAAGGGCTGTATGTGGCCCGATGCCGGGCTGTCAAGGACAGTGAAAAGCTCCAGAGGCTCTTTAGGGCACTGAGCTATTCTGTATGAGGCTGTAACGGTGGATGCAGGACACGACATGACGGGCTTTTCAAACCCATAGAACCGGGCAGGGCATAGAGTGAGCTCTAATGCAAACTTTGGACTTCAGTTAATAACAATAATAATATATTGCCCTAGCCAGTTTGGCTCAGTGGTTAGAGCGTCAGCCCGCAGACTGAAGAGTGCCAGGTTTGATTCCGGCCAAGGGCACGTACCTCAGTTGCAGGCTTGATCCCTGGCCCCTACTCTCTCTGAAAAGCAATGGAAAAACTATCCTCAGGTGAGGATTAAAATAATAATAATAATAATAATAATAATAAATCAATATTGACTCAATTGTGAGGGTGGGGTTAGGAGGGGTAGGTATATGGGAACTAACTATGTATTTTCTGCTCAAATTTTCCAGTAAACCTAAAACTACTATAAAAAACAAGGTCTATTAATTTTTAAAACCTGCAGAGGAGAATGAAAAATTAGTGGTATTGTTATCACTCATAGGACCCCCTAAAACAGCATTACTACCTTGCAAAAAAGACAATGTTTTCCTTCAAATGTCGCTTCCTCCATAAAGTACATGGGAAGTAGATACAATAAAATGTCCTTCATGACTTACCAATCATTTTATTCATAGAATTCTCCCCGCACCCTCCACTGTTGGAATGAGCCATTCGAAAGGCTGCATTGCTACTTTCTCCAGAAACAAAAACAAAACCTCCCACTTTAGTTTGATTTCCTAGCATATGTGTATGTATTATACATGCATATATATATATGCATATAAACACAAATATGCCTGTGTATGCATATATATTTAAATAAAAAGGGGCTGTAAGCTGATTAACCCACTGATCTATTGGACTGGGAGGTACCTCAAAAGCAATCTCATTCAGAGCTTTTCAAAATGTATGTACCTACAAGTTACCTGGGATCTTTCTAAAATGCAGATAGTGCCTCAGTAGACCTGGGCGGGCCTGGGAGTCTGCATTGCAGACCAGCGCCCGGGAGATGCCATCCTTTGGGTAGCAAGGAAGCCCATCCTAATTTCATTACTCCTGCTGGCTTTGCCACTTAACCGGGTGCTCCCCATGATTACCGTTCTGCGAGAGCTTCCTCGGCCTCGGGACGGTGGGTAGCCCAGGTGACGGGGGCTCCTCGGCCCCGCCGGGAAGAAGGCTCTGCAGGTGGGAGAGGAGGGCTCCCTGAGGGCCAGTGGCACCCTCTGCCCTGACGCCGGCTGGCTTGTGTCTGCGCTGGTGGGACAACATCCTCCCGACGAAAGTCTTCACTTTCTTCATCACGGTTTTCTTCTGACTTTGCTGACTTCCATGAAATTCCATGTCGCTACCACTGGATGATTCCTCTTTGGGGACCAATACATTTTGTTTCACCAAGTTGGTAGACACAGCTCTATGCCACCTGATCAAAACAAAAATAATCTTTATTAAGGAAACTGAAAAGTTAAAAACAAATCATTGAAATCATTAAAATTCAAGTGGAAAATGTGAACAAATAACAATTCCAAGAATCAAATCACAGAAAACTAAGCAACAGCAAACGCTTGGGGTCTTGTCACCAAACTGTAGTATGTGCATTTTGGCCACCACCTCGCTGAATCCTCAGAGGAGGCAGGTTATATGATTATTTTCATTTACTAATGAGTAAACTGAGGCAAAGAGGTTAGATTAATTGCCTAAGCACAAATGCAGATTTTAATCCTGGTTTGGGCCTGTTGGAATATATTGCCTCATACTGACCAGCTGCCGATATTTCAATGATGGTTTGTAGCTGTTTTTCCTGGATTTGGTGGTTCTAAGGCTACAGCGAGAGATGAGAGAGTCTGCTGGGTAGTCAATAAAGAATATAGTCTCCAAGGACCCGTAAATGCCACATTTACATAGAACATTCACAGAGAGAATAAATCTAAACACATGGTTCCAAATGGCCATATACCATCTTGGCATATTTTAGTAATAAAAATAGATAAAATTTCTGTTTTTTGTTAATCTTCACCCAAGGATATTTTTTCCACTGATTTTTAGAGAGAGGGAAGGGAGGAAGGCGGGGCAGAGGGAGAGAGAAACATTGATGTGAGACACACACATCAATTGGCTGCCTCCTGCACATGCCCTGACCGTGGCTGGGGATCGAACCTGCAACCCCGGTACATACCCTTGACTGGGAATCACACCTATGACCCTTTGGTCTGCAGGCCAACACTCTACCACTGAGCCACACCTGCCAGGGTGATAAAATTTCTTAATAGTTTTCATTTTTTAATCCTCACTTGAGGATATTTTTTCCATTGGTTTTCAGAGAGAGTGGAAGGAAGAGAGAGAGAAAGAGAGAGAAACACCGATGTGAGAGGGACACGTTGATTTGTTGCCTCCCCACCAGGGCTGGGGATCAAGCCTGCAAANTTGCTTTTCAGAGAGAGTGGAAGGAAGAGAGAGAGAGAGAAACACCGATGTGAGAGGGACACAATTTGTTGCCTCCCCACCAGGGCTGGGGATCAAGCCTGCAACCGAGGTACATGCCGTTGGCCAAAATTNATCAAGCCTGCAAATGAGGTACATGCCCTTGGCCAAAATCGAACCCAGGACCCTTCAGTCTGCAGGCCGATGCTGTAGCCATTGAGCCAAACCAGCTAGGTCCTTAATAGCTTTCTGTGAGCTAAACATTCCGCTGTTTTTCATGTGTATTACATAGTTTAACCCTCATGTGGCCATCTACCTTTTACAAATAAGGAAGTAAGAGTTTGGGAAGAGTAAATAACTTATGCCTGGACTGTCAGATCCNACCCGGGACCCTTCAGTCTGCAGGCCAATGCTCTAGCCACTGAGCCAAACCAGCTAGGTCCTTAATAGCTTTCTTTTTTTTTTCTTTTCTTAATGGCTTTCTATGAGCTAAACATTCCGCTGTTTTTCATGTGTATTACATAATTTAACCCTCATGTGGCCATCTACCTTTTACAAATAAGGAAGTAAAATTTTGGGAAGAGTAAATAACTTATGCCTGGACTGTCAGATCCCAAGGTCAGTGTTGTATCCTCTGTGCTAGAGTGAGCATCACTCACTCCATGGCACCAGCACTTACCTAGCATTCTTCCTCAACAGTTTTTTGTTGGTCTCATTCAAAGCAATAATATCCATAAAATCCCAGGGATTATAAAAAATTCAATTTTTTAGCCTGGCAAGTATGCTCAGTAGTTGAGTGTCAACCTATGATCCAGGAGATCATGGTTCGCTTCTGGGTCAGGGCACATGCCCAGGTTACAGGCTCCAGCCCCAGTAAGGGGCTGCAGGAGGCAGCCGATCAATGATTCTCTCTCATCATTGATGTTTCTATCTCTCTCCCTTCCTCTCTCTGAAATCAATTAAAAAAAAAATTTTTTTTTAATTAAACTTTTTATTTTGAGCTAATTGTAGTTTCATATGCAGTTATAAGAAATAATATTTTAAGCCTATTTTTTTAAAAAGAAATTCTCTTGTGTACTCTTTACCCAGTTTCCCCCAGTGGTAACTTCTCGCAAAACTGTGACACGTTGTCACACCAGGATATTGACATTGGTCTCTCACAGCCGGGATCCTTCCTGTTTTATAGCCACACCCACTTCCCCCGCTCAGCTCACATTTTCCTTAACCCCTGGCCACCACCAAGCTGCCCTTCACGTGTGTAAGTTATGACTTTTCGAGAATGTTATATAAGTGGAACCATACAGTATATAACCTTTGGGGATTTACTTTTTTCACTCAGCATATTTCTCTGGAGATTCACCCATGTTGTTGTGTATGCCAATAATTTTTTTTTTCTTCCCCTGAGTAACATCCCATAATGTGACTATACCACTTTATTTAACCATTTACTCACTGGAAGACATTTGGGTTGTTTCCAATTTGAGGCTATTATCAATAAAGCTGCTATACACATTTGTGTACAGGTTTCTGTGTGGACATAAAACTTCATTTCTTTGGGTGAAACCCCAGGTATTTTATTTTATATTATATTATATCATATCAATTACATTATATCGATTATATTATATTATAATCATATGTATAATACATGTAATATATTCTCCTAATGTGGATGTAAATAAATTCATAACCATTAAAAATGTTCTTCATGTACTACCTAAAATATCTCATGTACCACCAGTAGCACACACACCATACTCCAGGAAAACACTGTTTAAAACTGGACCTAAATTATTCAGCTTCTCTGTCATTATACAGGGGAAGCATGTCAGTAAGAGCTCAGGCACCGGAGCTAAATGGCCTCGGTTCAGCCGAGCACCACACTTCCTAGCCGCATGATCTTGGGCATGTTATTTAACTCTGTAAGCTTTGGTTTTCTCATTTGAAAACTGGTATGCAGTTCTCAGAAATGTGTGAATAAAAGGAAATAACGTATGTGCTTGGAACCTAATAAAACATTCAATAAACGATAGCTTTTAGTACAATGTGGATAAGCTCTGTGTGGGAAAATGTAAAAGGCAAGGAGGGAGTTCTGCCAGTTAGCACGCACAACTGGTAGGGGGCGCGGTTCACATTTAGTCATGATAGTTGTGTATAGTTACTCTATCAACTTTCTAGCAGGTGGCAGTGAAGTGTCCTGAGGAAGGAGTGTCATGTTCTAATTCCCCCAAAAGTCATTTATAGGCTGGGGTTACTCTCCCACAGACCCCTCTGAGAATCTTTTAATAACACCATCTTTTTCTACTACCATAAATACACATGTGACCACACACAAAACAATGAAAATACCTTTTAGGAGGCCCAGGAACCCTGAAGGACATGAGTGCAACCCTGCAGGTAAAAAGCCCAGCTCTAAGCAGTCTTTGCATCTCTAGAGCGTGTCCCCCGTCACCCCCTACCCCCATTCCCAATCTATTTTTAACAATTGACCAAGGGGATTTTGCTTCAGGGCCCAGGAATAGAATAGCTGTGATTTCTGTTATGAAAAGAATACTGCCCTTCTTAAGTTATTTTATTTTATTATTATTTTTTAAATCCTCACCTCCCAAGGATATTTTTTCCATTGCTTTTTAGTGTGAGGGGAAAGGACAGAGAGAGAGAAACATCAATGTGAGAGGCACATCGATTGGTGGCCTCCCGCATGGGCCCTGAGTGGGACCAGGGACCATGCTTGCAACCGAGGTATGTGCCCTTGGCAGGAATCGAAATTGGGGCCCTTCAATCCGAGGGCCGGTGCTCTAACCACTTAGCTACCCTCCTTTAGTTTTTCAACCCCTATTTCTTCTTAAAAGTGGAAATCCCTGCAAACTTTCATTTTGTCTATGAAAGTTCAAAAGTTTAGTCTTCAATGCTTCCAACCTTGTGAAAACACCTCATTTCTACGTGTCTGAGCTATGGCTAATGACCCTGGTAAGAAAGAAGCCCAAAGAAATGGAAAATAAATCATCTAACTGACTTTCCAAATTAAAATGTATTGTGTTTGGCATATTTCAGGCCTGTGTGTATGGTTTTGCCATTGGCAAGAAATATCAGGTATGAGATAGTTTTCAGGTTATATTAAAGGGCGTGCACACAGGTGAAATACAATCAGTACCTATCTCAGCAGCCAAAATGGCTGGGAAAGGAACAGAAGCGTTGACATGGGCTCCTCTTGAGGAATGTACTACTGGATTTTCAAAACAATGCTGTCTGCATGGGATGTGTGATGTTTAAAATTCTGAGGCTGAAATCAGTGCTTACTGTCATATGCCACATTAAAACTCAAATTCAGGGGAAAGGAAAGCTTTTCTCCATTACAATGAAAACTTCTGATCACAAAATGAGGCTTCCTGGTCCAATGTATAAACGCAGCGATCTCTCCTTCCAACCCACACGGCGCCTTTGTTTCCAAATGCAATGCTTAAAAAGAGATGCTACCTTTTCTAATGTCACCGTGAATATTGTTTAATGCAAAATCCGGAGAACCTCACTCAACGAAAAAGAAAGTGAGCCCCAATTTCCTACCTTTCAATCCCCTTCCTTTTGAAAGAGCCGTTTTTCCTCCTGGGGTGCTGAAACCTTTGGCCCCGGCCAGCTCTTCCATAACCAGACTTACAGGGCTCTGGTTGATGGAGCTGCGGACGGTCCATTGCTGTCAGCATCACCTGCAGTCACGGTTCGGGATTTCCTGAGCTCACAAACTTCAAAACAAAATTATCCAGGGACCGAGGCACTTTCAGCTTCTGGGCTGCTTGGGATAAAGTACGTAGGAGGTTTTTGCAATCTCTTTTTTATTCCCTCCCAGGTGTTAGAGACATCATTGGTGGGGCCGGCCTTGTGCACCCTTCACCCAGGTCCCAATGATGCATTTGGCAAAGCAGTGG